ACTGTGCGGCATGGTGGTGAACCAGAGGGAGCGTGGCTGCTACGGCGGAATGGCTGGACAAGGCTCGAGCACAAGGAGCAAGCTTCTGAAATTAAAATTAGGAAAGGTAAACCTTATCACCGTGGTTAGAGCCGAATTATACGAATTCATAGCATGCGTACAAATATATCTATCACAGGGATCGCTCTTTTGTCCAAATCTAGCCGTTGGAGTGAGGGGCCTGCAGTGACTTTCAGGGCATCAAGGCTTACTTTGTGATGCCAACATTGCACAGCGTGTTCTTCCGTAAACAACGTTGCTATATATATATATATATATATATATATATATATATATATATATATATATATATATATATATATATATATATATATATATATATATATATATATATATATATATATATAGGTATGGGATATGGCACAACGGGAGCGTTGTCAACAAGGATGAATATATTTATTTCCCAACAGTTTCGGGAGGGGTCCTCCCTTCATCAGGGATGAGTTATACTGACATGAGCTTCCAAACTTCGTTGCTGCCACGTCCCTCTCGGCCTTGAAAGATGTTTGCGAGAGTGAGAGGGAACTAGAAAAAGGAAAAAAAACAAAAAAGGGGGAGAAAGAAGACGAAAAAAAAGAAAGAAAAGAAAGAAAGTAAAAAAGAGTAAAAAATATATATATTATATATATACATATATATATATATATATATATATATATATATATATATATATATATATATATATATATATATATATATATATATATATATATATATAATATATATATATATATATATATATATATATATATATATATATATATATCATTACCATGATGTGGATTAGCAATCCAGGCAATAAGCACGCTAACATCAATAAAAAATTGTTATCTATCAACGTGAGACGAAGATATTCCACTGTCTAATAGATTAACTAAACTGGTATAGCGCATTACGGTAAAGGAAAAACGACCGCCACAAGAAGACAGAGCATTAATTTCCAACTAAGCTTTATTCGCAAGTCGCATACAAATATGTATACTTGCACAAGCATACAATGAGCACTCGAACATATTGCCAAGAGTACACACCACTGTCACAACGTCACATACGAAAGATTCATGGACGGTTCACCTGATTAAGTAAGAAAGCTTCGTTTTCAGATAAAGTCAACGAATGTGCGCTGATACATGTGATGCCAGCTCTTTCTATACAATAAGCTTCAATTATCTCTCAAGTGATCTGTGACGGGTGCTTTTTTTTTGTACCCCTTCACATAGGTCAAAAAAAGGGGAACATCCGCAATCAAAACAGAGAATTCCGATGTGTCCCTTGATTGTTTTTATTTCATTTTCATGAATCTTTCGTATGTGACGTTGCGATAGTGGTGTGTAAGCTTGGCCATAGGCTCGGGTGTTCAGTGCATGCCTGCGCAAGTGTACATGTTTGATGCAAATTGCGAATAAAGTTTAGTTGAAAGTTAGCACTCGGCCCCCTTGCGTCAGTTTCCTCAGTCATTTCTTCTTTACTGTAATGCGCTATACCAGTTTAAGTACGACGAATCAACTCGCCCTATCTTCAACACTTGTGTCTAATAAAGAAAATAAAAGAGAAGCGTTTTAGCATTTTTTTAATGCGAAATGTTTGAACATCTCTAACATATGCTTCTTATTAATACTATGATTAATCTAAGCTTACAAATTCGCTTGTACGCAGTTCAACAAACTGCTTTTATCAGAGTGCTCGATGTGTTGCATCTGCATGCTAGTGCATTGATGAGCGAGTGAAGAAGGTAAACATCAAGCGGTATAAGAACGGGACTTGTCTTGAACACAAACTCTCTAAAATAGTACAGCATGCTCTTCAAAGTCCGGCAAAGACAAGCCTGCGTGTCGAAGTGCTAGATCTACAGTCTCAGGGTTCGCCAGTATACACCCACCAATTTATCACTCTGCTGCTTAGGTGGCTTTATTAATTTTCAATTAATTTGGCTTTTCCGTATTTCGTTAAAACGGCAAGAGAATGAGAGGGGCACTATCTAGAGAAAGAATGTAATTTTGGTCGCGCGTGCAGAACCTCTGGCATGCTACCGTGTATTAGCGGGGAATGAGATTATTGTGTTCCCGAAGAGGTGGAAAAATAACAAACAATATCAACACATAGAAAAATGCGCAGGTGAACCTGATACTAATATTAAACACCCAAACGTCAGGCAAGTTTAGGCTTTTCTTTAAAAAATAGTCCCTCATTAAAGCTTTCAAATAACGTCATTACCTGACGGTGTGTATCAATGAGCGACTCTAAAGCCCGTGGAAGCCGGTTACCATTGTGAAGGGCTGGGTGCTAAACATAATATGCTGTGTAACGCCAACAGGTCGTCGCGAATTGTGTTATAGTTGTCGAAAATTTACTTTAACCTTCATAACTGCGTACGTTTTGCGATTTTCGACTCCTTTGGTTTCTCTGCGGCTTTGATAAAACAAAACAGGCCCGCGACGAGCGAGAACGAAAGTACGCGAAGGAACGTTCACCGCTTGGCAGGAACGAGGTGCTCGAAGACGCGCGTGAAGGAAGAAACGTAGGAAGCGCGTCGTCTTTATTTAGAATGAAAAGGCACCGCGATCTCCCGGTCACCGGAGCGGCTGGCCTAGGAAGAGAGAATACGTGTGGAGAGCGGGACCCCATTGCAGTTGAGAGGTCCCCGCTATGGAACGCGGTTTTAGAGAAGGTATATAGCGGGCGAGCAAACTTGCGTTCCGATCGAAAATAACCCGAGATATATGCGAGTCAAGGACCATCCGGCTGGAAGACTGAGCATGGTCACACTTTTCCTTTTAGGGCGAGTCACTGCGCGCAAGTTCGACCGCAGGAATATTCCTTCAATGTCCATAATGAGAACACAGCGGCCATCGTTACATGCTTAGTTTCCTTCCTCATTCTCTGAAAACGATTAAGTGAAAGCAGGTGTGTTGAATAATCTCCAAGTCGCCTCGCCGTGGTGGTCTAGTGGCTAAGGTACTCGGCTGCTGACCCGCAGGTCGCTGGTTCGAATCCCGGCTGCGGCGGCTGCATTTCCGATGGAGGCGGAAATGTTGTAGGCCCGTGTGCTCAGATTTGGGTGCACGTTAAAGAACCCCAGGTGGTCAAAATTTCCGGAGCCCTCCACTACGGCGTCTCTCATAATCTTATGGTGGTTTTGGGACGTTAAACCCCACATATCAATCAATAATCTCCAAGTCATTGGAACGACGCTGAGGGCATTCTTTTAGTGGTTAAATCATTCTGTTTTAGGGCTCGACATCACCATATTCGATTATTATGTACAATTGTTCACAATCAAAGCCGATATCACTATCGGTTGCGATAATCAGAACACTTCCGTGTTTCGCACTGTGACTGCCGGTTTTCGCTAGGTTTCGCGCCGTAATGCCACTCTGTATTAAGCTTTCCTGCAGCTAAGCGCTGTGTTTACGTTTACAATCAAGGACTCCACTTGAAGCTATAGAATTTTGGCAACTGCACGAAAATGAGATAACTAAAAAAAAAACATGACAGTTACGCCCAAAGCATGCAGCATTCACAGTGACATAGAACAAGGTTTAACAATGCACTTCAATTACTTTGACGCCGTTCCTACGAATTTGCGACATGTTAGCGGGATGCAGCAGGTTAAACTGTTGTTTGTGAAAATAGTGACAACTTCACTCTCTACGCTAGAGCTTATAAGCGCCTCCCATGGCATCGAAGAGTTTGCAACTAGATGGTTACCAAAATCAGGTTGACGAAAAGTTTTGACCAATGTGAGTAATCAGTGAAATTTTAGATACAGCTACCCTGACGTTTCTTGTTCGTTAAATCCCGTTCTGCGCTTGCATATCGCACCCAAATGCTACGGGGCTTACAATTTGCGTACAGACCATCTTCATATGAGCGTCGGATGTCATAATGTGGGTATGTCTCTACATGCGTAAACAATTTATAAATTTGCACCTCAGCAGCCAAGACGCCCAAAATAGGCGAGCACCGAAAAATTGTCATGAGTGTTCTGCACTGCTAGGATTACTTCTTCGTATACAATGCATTATAACTAGCCTAATCGCTTGCTTGGGGCTAAAAAATGCTCGGCAAATGTCTTCCTGTGCTTTGTCTACAAAAATCGATTCTGTGCACTTTGCTTACGAAACCCATCGATACAAACATGACCTATTTTACAGCGCTTGTCAATACGGTGAGATATGCTTAACTTATGCCAAAACACCACACTTCCATGATGCAACTACTTCGACACGGAAAACGACTGAATGCATTTCTCCTCGCTACCTATAGGCGAGAATTTTGATTGCTTGTAGGAGACATTTACATTTCGATCCGAATGGCGAGTCCTATGTAACGAATGACCACGCTAGCGGCACCTGTCCTGCCACACGCTTGCAGCCTTGTTCGCTGGTCATTAGCTGTGCCATGACCAAACCCACAGCTCCTGTGCCGAAAGCGCCCAATGTTGATAACTGGGGTGAAGATTTGTATATGCTCCCAATGCGTGTTCGTTAGTGAAAGACTCTGTGTGTCCTATAGCCTGTTTTGTGGTGGTGTAGCATTGCCATAACCATGTGCCATAGGAATTTCCCTTGTTAATCAATGTAAAGTGCTTAGCTATTTCATCAGTGAGAAGCTAAAGTGGCATACGTAAGTACTGAAGAGAATGTGTAAAAGCTCTATACTGATCTGTTCTTACATTCTGATGCCACAATGTTGCTACACATGTTACCAAACGACAACCAAAAATGGCAGCCCGTGTTCTTTGCTGCTCTTTTGTTTGAATCACTGCGTTTATAGTGTTTAGTATTAAAACAAACTAATTTTTAAAACTATTATCTAGAAATAATGTTTATTATTTTTACGTAAGCGCGCAAATTGAATAATTAATATTTCTGTGACAAAATAGTCATCCTGGGAGAATATACAAAGTGCTTGATGCAGGCTGTGTTCGTCCTATGCAGTTCGCAACGACGATTCTGGCAGTGCTTCTTGGATCCCTGGTCCAGAGCAGCCACCAAGGGTTCCTGAGCGGAGGCATCGACCGAGGCAACAACAACGGCAATCAGATTGGAGGACAAGGACCACCTCCGCAAAGTCTGATGGAGGCCCTGCAAGAAAGCGGAGGGTTCCGGGTGTCCGGTCCTTATCAGGTTTCGGCAGCACCATTCCCAATGACTTCCGGTGCTTTTCCGGGACCTGCACCTTTCCAAGGCGGCCAGGGAGGATTTCAAGGAAACAGGAACCAAGAAGGAAACAACGGAAAGTTCGGAGACTCTGGGGGTGGTTTTCAAGGCAATGGAAACTTCCCCAGGAATGGTGACAACTTCCAGGGTCCCCGGGGCTTCCAGGGGCTAGGAAGCTTCCAGAGCTCAGGAAACTTCCAGGGTGCCGGAAACTTCCAGGGTCCTGGAAACTTCCAGGGTTCCGGAAACTTTCAAGGCTCTGGAAACTTTCCTGTCACAGGAAATATTCAGGGTCCCGGAAACTACCAAGGGCCAACTGGATTCCAGGGCCACTCTAACTTCAATGGACCCACCAACTTCCAAGGGCACTCTAACTACCAGGGACAGTCTAACTTCCAGGGACAAGGCAACTACCAAGCCCAAGGGGGGATCGGCGGCCTCCAGGGAAACATTGGTGGTACTCAGCGAGGCTTTCAGGGTGGCGCAGGTGGACCCTTGAACATCCGCAACCAGTTCGGACCTTCTCCACCTCCGCGCGCTCCAGAGGCGCCGCACGTGTCGATACAGCCAGCCAGTGTGAAAGTTGTGTACGTGCCTGTGGTCTCTACGAGTATCAAGGCTTCTAGTCTCAGCAAGCTGACGGGCGAGCATGCTTCAGGAAAGGACGGCACCAGTTCTTACTTCACGGGCAGTGGCGCACAGACCGGACTGTCGCAGCAAGAAGTGACGAAGCCATCTTCGTACGGCGCCGGGTCATACGGAGTTAAACCTACGGGAACGAGCAAGCACCACGGTCACACCAACGGAGGCCACGCAACAATACCCATAATAATCATTCAGAAGGAGCACCACCATAGCGCAAAGAGCTTGCAGCCTGTTTCCTTCCCGACGCAGGCATCGCAACAGACACAGAACCAGCAGGGCAGCGGCTTGACGTCAAGCGGCGACTCTTCGAAGCCTGGCTACGGTATTAACAATAGGGCGCCCACAGATACTCAATTTCAGACGCGAGGTCACCAAGAACACCATCAACGCCAGCAAGCTCACCACCGCCAGGAGCACCAAGGCCATCACCAGCAGCAGCATCAGCAGCTAGTGGCTCAGCAGCAACAGCAACAGGTGGCGCAACGCCAAGTCGACAACGGTCACCACGACTCGACAACTCGCAACGGGCATGGAGGAACGGGAGCTGTGATCCCAGTCATCATTATTCAGAAGACGCTACAGAATGCAGGTCGGCCACAGCACTCGCATCATCAACATCAGTCCAGTGGCTACAGCGTGCCCGCAGCGCCACCACCGGTGCGCGGACCCACGGCTTGGAGTCCGTGGAGGTAGGAGACGCCCTCCTCAAGCTGTGCCCGTTTCAAACATACTCATCCACCCTCCCCCACCGTAATGACGACGAATGCGAAACATTAAAGGACATTAACGCGCTTCGCGCTTTTCCCTCTGTTTCTCCGAACGTACACCAAAGAGATACGGTGCAACAGTTAGACTGGTAGGTTACTGTGCAAAAAACTGGAAAATGGTCGACGAACAACGAAGAAAATTCTGGCATCGTATCAGCGTGGAAGAAGAAGATGAAAACAAAAAATTTTCAGAGAAATGGGTAAAAATAGAGATTCGGGAGCATGTTGGGTGGGTTCCAAAGTTCAGGTCCCCATTGCATATGGCTTCCACCGAAACCACGCTGATACGATGCCATTGAAACTGTTCATGCGTCTTTGCTGCCCATAAAAATAGTGGGGAAATATTTAGTTTACGTGGAATATTGTTTACAATGGTATATATGGATATGTGAATATCTCGTTGAACTAAATAGAAAGCGAATGTACTGATACCTGATTTCATTGTTAACTCGATAGTGAATTCGGAGATGGCGTAAATCGCCCCATGTGCTTTGGATATATATATAGCCTCTTTTATAACCTGCAAAGCCTCTCCTCCGAAAAAGGGTGAGCAGTCTACAGTTGAAGATGTGCCATGAACCTCAAGGTGAACATAATTCCTCTTTACAGTTTCATTAAATGAGTATGAAAACAGTGTTTCTATCACTCAAGGCAAACATGCTAGTGCAAGTTCATTGCTTTGCACTTGAGCTGCTGTAACGGGCTGGCACGTGTACATTGTAGGCTGGTGCGTGCGCTCAAACCTCTGCTTATCAAAATAATATTTAATTCAATGCACAGCGTGTGAGCACAGCTCCGTGCAACAACATTATTATACACTGCCCATATTTGATGGAAGCTCGTCGCTGGCAAACTGGTACGTTGTTTTCTTTCGCCGCATTTCTCTATATTCCGCTCCTTCAGGTCACGCATGCGAAAGAAGAAAAAGCGCAACGCACTGACTTTCCAGTAAATTGGCATTTAATTACTCTTAAGCACGAGGATTTCCTGGAGTCCGCTCTAATAATTATCTGCTGACCTTAAAAGAATTGTAATGAAGTCTTACGTAGCACTTTTGTACCTTTATATACGTTTGTAAATAGCCCATCGTTTACTGAAAGGGATTTGATGAAGCTATATGGAAACTTAGCTTTAAGACAAGAACAAATCTGTGCCCTCAGAGAGCGTGTAAAACAACATATTAAAATGGACATATTTATAAATAGCTAACTTGAAACGCGAGTCCAGCTCACCCGTTATTTCCTTCCCTCATATACGCGTCCTGCTTAAACAAAATACATAACCACAAGAACGTGCGATATAATCGTCGTCTTACCGTCCAAGTTAGGCATGCGTTAACGAAAAGCGTTTCTCTTGGAATTCGATTCAGATAATGAGAGAACTGATTTTGTCTGGGTCTTCCATAGTTAATGTTGTTTCCAAAGCTTCACAGACAACGCAAGTTCATCAGTGTGTGACTATAACAGCATACAGGGGGATACTCGAACCTCGTACGTGGTGAAAGACTTGAGCCGAGATTGCTGTAACCCTAGCCCGATGAATATCGCCACATGAATACTGTTAAACGAGGTTGGCGCTTGTCAGTCAACAAATGTCGAGTGAGTATATTTATTTTTCACTTCATGAATCTCAGTTGTATGGAATTAGAGCTTCTGAAACTAAAAGAAATTATGTTATTACATTGTAATCATGCACTTATCTGAACCATGTTTTCCGACTACCTTTTGTACGCTGCACGAATAAAGCACTTTGACAAGTTTCTTACAGTGTTATAAATCTTATGACTGAACGTTATTTACGTATACCACGTCCGCTAGATGAAAAATAGCACGTGTGTTTTTTCACCGAGTGGCCGTGTGTATACCATGTCCATCATATACAGCATGTGACTCCCAGGAGCAGGAAAATACAGTTTGGTTTACGTGGTATGAATGCTGTCCCCTTAGCAGCTAAGAGTGATCATTACATAGATGATGACCGCAAGCATTATTATGAATTGCATGATGGTGTTCATGAACAATCACCGCCGCATGGCGTACGCATTCGACAACTGATGTCGTACGCAGATCTGTTACACCGAGAAGTAAGTCAGCCTTTTTTGCAACGGACACTGTCCCTCAGTACCAGGACCTTCTGTCAGAGAGGTCCATCATCACCTACATAGTTGAGGCATCTTAGTCTAGCTGCTAGAAACGAAGCCGTTGCTAACCTGAAACTTCTCTCTACAGATTTTCGACCACTGAAAGAAGAAGAACAAAACATAACAATATCTCGATTATTAAAGAGGTTGCTCGAAAACTTGAAGGCTGTTGAGTCAATCAAAGTTTGATTAGTGGTTTTTTCTAGCAAAGTGAACGCACTGGACATGTTGTCAATTGAGCCAGTATTTTTACACTGTGACAAGCATTCTTCAATAATGGTAGCTGTTAGAGTTTTACGGCCCAAAACCACAACATTCTTATGACGAATGCGGTAGTGGAGGGGTGCGGAAGTTCATATTATTGCAGGAAATTTTAGGAATGGTCAAGTTCTCTTATACCAACTGATAATTAGCGGCCACAATGCGCCTTTATCTGCTGTAATCAGTTCTAGCACATACACCACGCAAGCACAGCCCTTCAGATTTGTTTCTGATATTTACGTGGAGCAACTTCTAGTTCACTATTGGTGTTATAGACTTGAAGCTCACAATGTCCAGTGTACTAGCTGTATATGAAATAATGAAGACATGTTTTTGTTGTGCAGCAGTGGAGGGGCTAGTCATGATTTGAAAAGTCACCAGTGCGTCACACATGTGTAGGTATAGTATGTGTGTGCGTAGACGGGGGCGTTTCGAAATGTTAATTCGAGCGCGAAAACTTAACACGATCACTCACGCACGCACACACCCGTGCATCAAACACACACAGCGCCCACTTCCAACTGATTTATTCATAGCTCGAAGGCTTGAATATATACAGGACACATTGTGCGCACACACACCATAGAAGGCCAACAGCATACATTATCAAACGTACAGTTAATCAATGTCATAGCCTCAGGGCGACAAAGTGAAGTTTGCTTGGTAACAACGAAATTGAAGGGGCGCTTACACAGTGATATTTATTTATTTTTTCAATGAAAAAGGCCTCTAACACTTCACGTGCAGTTTTACTTGTGCTTCTGCCTAGAATCTTCATCTCAGAAAATCGTGCGTCACAACCACACGAGATGATATGCGCAACCAGGTGCGCATACTTGTAATCTATTTTTGTTAATTTTTGGGCGTGTTCCCTTAATCGGTCATTAAGATGGGGGCTGACTGTTGTGCGGAGAAATATGCTGGGAATTTCGTCAACGTTTATTTGCAGGGGGAAAATCCCTGAAATAGAGAGTTTTCATGTCTCTGAAGGGTAAATCTTCGGCGTAGTACGGAACATCACTGTTGCTTCGTCCTAAGTCTCGCAAAGCTTGCATTTACGCTTAGGGGTTCATGCATCCCATTGCGTCCAATTCGAACCAACGGTTTAAATGACCCGTAACGTAGGTTGACTTGCCGTTCGTTAAACTTGAACTGGGTTCGAACCACAGTGTAAGAATAAATTATTCTTACACCCTGGTTCGAACAAATCTATGTCTATTTATGGCCCGATCACTCAACCTTCAACTGTGCACTCTAACAAAAATTAGTAAAAAGCTTGTAACCACACACAAGGAGTAATTGGAGATGTTGTTAACTTTCTTGGGCACTTACCAACTTCTGTGATATTGTTACTACGCATGTTTGTGGCTTAAAGGCTGCAATGGTTATTTTGAGCACTGCTACGAACTTTGGCCATGCACCTGTTTAACGAACTTGTCGAACGGCCCCGCCGTGGTGGTCTAGTGGCTAAGGTACTCGGCTGCTGACCCGCAGGTCGCATGATCGATTCCCGGCTGCGGCGGCCCCATTTTCCATGGAGGCGGAAATGTGGTAACCCGTGTGCTCAGACTTGGGTGCACGTTAGAGAACCCCAGGTGGTCAATATTTCCGGAGCCCTCCACTACGGCGTCTCTCATAATCATATGGTGGGTTTGGGGCGTTAAACCCCACATATAAATATATCAATCAATCAAACTTGTCGAACGAATCTTAGAGGTCATTATTACGAGCATCTAAGAACCTATAGATATTTACTGCAGTCGCTGACAACTTTTCTTGGCACTGAAGGGAAAGCTACGGAGGCGGAGCTTCCGCACATGTAACACTTAACGTGAAGTAGTCTGTTTTGCGGCGCGTCTGTAAAACTATGGAAAGTGACGGGGGCGTACTGTAGGGGCGTTTCATGTAGACGCAGACGCCGCTTAGCGTTTGAGGTGCACGTAAAAAGGCGGGGCATTTTCACGCGTTCCGAAACGCAGTCACAACACATAAATTTAAAAAAAAATACGAATATATTACAGGTGTGAGCTGCATTCTGTCTCAAATAGCTCCACGTAGAAAATAAAGGAGGAACATTTATACTTCACGTTGAAAAAAAATGGCAGCATATCCACGGAGTGAATGATGGAGAGCGGGGCGAAGCATTCATCCATCCTTTCTTTCTTGCTTCCGTCCGTCCATGCGTCCATCTCTGTGACCGTCCATGCGTCCATCCGCCCGTCCGTGCGTGCGTCTGTTCGTGCGTCAATCCCTGCGTTCGTCCATGCATCCGCCCCCGCGTCCATTCATGGGTCCATCCATGCATCCGTCTGTGTGTTCGTTCGTCTATCTATTGAACACTCCAAGTACCACCATCTCGCATCTTTTCATCATATATTCTTCATATAGAAGCACCGCCATCCAGCGGACATTCCAAGAACTAAACGAGCGGTGGCACACGCACACTTTCTTACGGCTTGCGCTTCGTGTCTACTTCCCACCTTTAACCAGCTCGAGTTCATGGTATATACTAGTTCACTGTATTCATGGCACTGCGGCCCAACACTCGCTAAATCTTTCTAAAACCAAAGAGGTTACGCCCAGCGAGTATAACGTAGTAACCTTTTCCTGCCAGATAGGGCTC